TAAAAATAAAAACAAAAACTAGATTTAATAAAAAATAAATATGAAAAAAGTATATTCAATTTTGTAAAAAATTATTTCTAACTACTCAAAAGATAAAATTATATAAAAATAATTAATATTTTTTATTTTTTATATCTCAAAGCCAAAATTAAGTTGTTTAAATTTTTATTTAATTTTTAAAAATCAGACGAGGTAAAAGGAAAAAAAGAAAGAAAACATATTCTAAGAAATTTTTTGGACAGGCCATTTCTTAATGTTTAACTTATTTAATTAATCTTTGTGTTTTTTATGATATTCTTCACTCAGTCTGAACACTACAACATATACAGAGTTTTAAAGAATAATTTTTTTTGGATCTCTAGAAGTGAAATTTTGTCGCCGAAAGCACAATTTAGGGACTAATTTTTATCGTTGTGATAGGAAATAGTCGCCTAAAAGTCTCCTAGAAAGAAGTCAAAAATAAGGCTTTTAGCGATAAAATTTTGAAAATGTCAATAATAAATAAGACTTTTAGTGGACAGAATAATTTAGTCTTAAAAATAGTTTATTTTTGACACAAAATTTGATTACAAAAAGATATATAATTAATCACTAATGTTCGAATTTTTGTTACTAAAAATAAAGAATCGACACTTTTCACAATAAAAATTTTGTCCTCGTAAAAATAATTTTTGTCTTCTAAAATTTAGTTTTCTAAACCTTAATTTTTGTAGTGTGGATAAGTGTTGGTTTCCATTTTAATTTTACATTACATAAGCTTATTAAATTACTCACATTTAGGCTAAACCTTGGAGGTGAGAGATTTTTTCAGGTTGGAAATTTGTACTTTTAACGGGCTAAGCCTAAAAAGGTGTAGGTAATTTGTCTTTTAATTTGTCAAAAGGCCATTTTAGTCAATTTTATAATTATCGGCGTTAATTGTGATGGGCGAGGGATGTGAATTTGAAACCTCATGTGAAGAATCTGTAATTTCGTTAAATCTCAAGGGAGATGATGGTAATCTTGCCCAAAATGTTAAAATAGATAAAAAAAATTTTGAAACAGATAAAAAATTTGAACGGCGATAAAAAAATAATTTCATAGATAGTTAACGCCCCAAGTCCAACATATAAAAAGAACCAAGTGGTACAAATAAAACAAATGTTCTTTAAAATATCTCACGCAATTATTTCAACAAAGTGTGGATCTCTCATTGACAAAAAAACTATTCCCTTAGCATCTATACTTATAACTTCTTTATATTAGATTTATCATCAAATTTAACCCAAGATTATATTTGCTTTTTATTTTATAAATAAGTTGTAGGTACACACCAAATATAAGGAAGATTTTAAACATAAGGAACTTGTCTTTGATTATCAGTGATGGATTGAACCTTTTAATGGTATATGCATAATGGTCAGAGCCCACAGTAAAGAAATCAGCCAAGTCCAGCCATAAGGTTGGTTTATTAACCTTACTATGGCTAATTTTGGAAGGCCTCTGGTCTCTCTCTGAATATATTATATAATATGCGCTCAATCGTTGTGTTTTTTTTATTTAAATAATTAGTTATCCGGAATTAGTTTTTATTGACACACTGATTAATTTGAAAAACAATCACATCATTCGCTTGCAAAGATTCTGAATTTAAAGACTGAAAGAATTGGAGGGAGAACATTCATATATATATATGTCTCAGCATTGTTTATTGGTGGTATGTTTTCGATTCGGTTTGGTTTTATTATTCGAATCGTAGTATATCTGAGGATGAAGCTAGTTGGAATTCTCAGTGGTCTTGAAAAATATAAGTTGGCAATGGTTATATGAGCAGACAAGTCGAATTTCAAACTCAAGCCATTTATTTATATTTTATTTTTATGAATTTGATCCAATAAAACCATCAATCAGTGAAAGCTTGTGTTGCATGACTTAAGCACTTGCTAACCTTTGAAAGAGAAATCATGGTTGGTTTGGGGTACACATGATCATATTGGCATAATCATCACAATTTCTATATGCCTTATGGTTTCTCATTATTTCAATATAAAATTTATGAGTTTTATCTTTTTTTTTTACAATCACAAAGGTGTGGAACCACCACAGGTGCTCTCCAATAAATGTAACTTTACACCTACTTACAGACTAGGGTACCAATTTTTTTTTTTTTAAAAATAAATTTGAGAAACTAAGGCGCCATTACAGGAATTAAACCAAGTTTAGCTTTTGCAACTAGCTTTGTAATGGTTTCATCTAATCACTCCATTACAAGAACCCTTGTCCACCATATTGCTGCCCTCACCTCCCAAAATTTCTCCCTTTTTCCCAACCACATCCGCTGCCGCAAGTCACACCACATCCATTATTATAACAAATAGTAATCACCTCTCTTCCCCTCAGCGGCCTCACCCCCTACCTTCTCTCTCCCTCTGCTCTCTCTCTCTCCTACACTCCTCTCTTCCACCATGGTTTTGAAGATACACAACCTCAACTTCTCAGACCTCAAAGACAGAACTGCGAAGTCACAGCCAGACTCTCCTCTTCGGTGCCATTTTTCTGTCTCTTACCATCATCTCAGTCCCTCTCCCTTCGTCCTACTTCCTCTACGCCCTGTGTTCGCCGCGGCCCAATTAACTAATACTGGGGAAAACCACGCAACCCAACACCACGGCCTTCACCGCCGCACGGGGGCTTGACAAAGCTGCAATCAATTGCTTGCCCAATCTGTGTCATATGGGTCTAGCTGCCTCGAGGCCGATGATGAGCTCTGATAGTGTAGTAGTTTTTGGCAGAGTGGTTGAGTGTTCTATATGTCTCTGTCTTGGGGGGTTCCAGGATGGAGAGAAGGTGAAGGTGTTGCCTATGTGTCATCATGGGTTTCACTCCAAGTGTGTTGACAAGTGGCTCCGGACTCGGTCCAGTTGTCCTCTGTGTAGAGCTTCTGTTGTTCGAGTTGATCAGTCATTTGCACTCTCAGACATTCCATGAAAGACATGAGAGTAAATAGTGTAAACAAAATTTGATTTTGATTTGAGAGTTACTTAGATGTCCAGAAGATTGGTAAGTCTGTTAACCAAAAATTGGGTCCAGACTATTGCCTGGATTCAAGTGTGTGGTGGAGATAGTATATTGTAGGGTTTTTATTTAAGTTGAATTTGAATTTTATATTAGTCTTTCTAGATAAAATTATGAGTAGTTTTTTTAAATATGTAGTATTAATGCTAAAAGATTAGAGAACACATAATTTTAAATAATGAGACATATGTGAGATATCAAATGAGTTTTGTATGTGAAATCTATCATATGTTGAACTCATAATATATGGATCCCATCATTTGTCTCATTCTACAAAAAATTATCTGTTCACTAAAAACATACATTTAACACACAAAATTAAACTAATATGTAATCATTTTTATCATATAACATACTTTCACGCAATTTTAACTACTCGATAAAGATGCTAGGAGAAATACAATAAACCAAAAGTGAATATATTAGCCTTTTGTTTTTTTTGGATTAATTGTGTTGAAAGCCAGTTTTTTTTTTTTTTTAATCTTTTTGACTCTTTTTTTCATTACATCACTTCTCTATTTTTTTACACATTTTTTCAAAAGAAGTCAAAAAAAAAAGTTAAAAAACGGGCTTTTAACCTATTTTTCAAATCAATTGACAATATTAAAGAGTCCAGAATCGCATTAATTTGATGTAATCCACTTTATTGTGTTGGGTTGGTGAACCCTGATAAGGATTGTTCACTCAACCCTACTCTTCACTCAAACACTAGGTCCAATGGGGAATTTGGGGGGCCTCCCCCAAGGGGGAGGGAGGTTCGGGAGGCGCCTCTTTTAAGTAAAGAGAGTAATATTTTTTCTGCCGCATCAGCCGTGAACATAACCTTATTTTGGAGTGAACCACGTAATCCTTGTGTTCTTGTGTATGTGATTTGTTTGATTCGTTTTTTCTTCATTATTTGTTATTTTGTGTTTCACCGATTTTGGTTAAGAAGGGTTAATTCCTAACCTATAGTATTGTTATGCTTTAAATAAGATGCTAATTTCTCACTATAACTGAAACATCTAATATGGTTACTATCTGTTCTAATGTCTTGATGATTGTAAACATCTGTAATAAACATTGGACAACCTTTTCAGAAACTCTCACACTGATAAATTTGTCATAGTCAATCCCTAATCATATACTATTAGTGAGATTTTTAACCCTATGTCTAAATGAGTATTGCCAAAACTACAAATCTTCCCAATTATATGACACACCAAAGCAACTTATTAGCAACCATAATACAACCTCCAGTCAACCACTCACCATAAGCTGAGACATCTGAACGTTTGTTTTCACCACCACCCCTACTCAAGGGTTGATGATGGCTTGATGCTATATGTAACCTATGTACATTAGGAAAATGAGAAGAAAAAAGAAAAGAAAAAAGAGCACAGGAACATGAAAATTAGGTAATCAGTCACTATGAAGAAGAAGAAGAAGAGAATGACGAAGAAGTTGAAATGGGTGGTGATTCATGACACCTGCATTTTGGGTTGTGTATCACTTTCTCCCAACAGATATCAAGTTTGGAACAAAACACACAGTATCGCCCGGTAAATGCTTTATCTTCAGTCGCATCTTCATCTTCGTTGGAGTCTCCTGTCTCATCTAAGGGATTTTCAATGTTACCCTCTGACTCTACCTTCCCATCATTACAACAGCTGAAAGTAAAACGCAGAGTTGGAAGAATCATCCAAGCAAAGTTCTCAATGTGCTTGTCGCACCAGTGGCTCCCCTGTTCCCAGAACATAAGTAGCCCAACAAGAAGTCCTGCACCTATCCCAAATCCCACGCCTGTATATATGACTTCCCAATCAAACTCTGTCATCAAACTTGAAACCGACTCGTTGGAGGTCGGTGTTGGTGAAGGTAATGGTGGTGCACCACTGCAATTAATCAAAGGAGGCCCACATAATTCTTTGTTTCCTTCAAAGGAAGTTTCTGAAAATGATTGAATTTGAGTGCCTGTTGGGATCCTTCCAAACAGTTGATTATATGATAGGTTCAGGAATGAAAGAAATGTAAGACTTGCAAGCTGCTTTGGGATGCTTCCACTGAGCTTGTTCCATGAAAGGTCTAATGATTCAAGCTGTGTCAAGTTTCCAAGTGATGATGGAATATGACCTGTGAGGGCATTCTGCGACAGGTTGAGAACATAGAGGTATTTCAAATCCCCAACTGAATCTGGTATCTCTCCTTGGAAACTATTTTTTGAGAAATCAATGGAGATAAATACAGTTAAAATCTTCACCAGTTCCAACTGTAACCCTTTGAAGGTAACTGTCACTGTATCCTGATAGTAGAAGTGATTAAGTTTGAGGAACTCATAACGCAGGTGATCCATATCTGATTGTCCATTATCCCCATCAACCATCATTGCCTTCCAATGTAAGAAGCATTTATTTGGCAGAGAACCACTGAAGTTGTTCAAAGCTAGGTCAATAATTTGAAGCTTTGGCCAGCTATTATTATGGTCCCCTCCACATTGAATGCCTCCTTGGAACTTGTTGGATCGCAAATTCAGTACACGCAAATGAGATGAGTTCTTCAAGAAGTAAGGGAAGATATCAGTTACATTGTTGTTACCGAGATTTAAGACCTCCAACTTTGTACAAATGCCCAAAGATTGTGGAACATGTCCTTCCAAGTGATTTCCATTGAAGTCCAGTGTCTTTAAAGCACAATTTTCTGGGAATGTCCCCGGAATATTACCAGTAAGACTGTTATTGCGCAAATTCAGTACCCCAAGAGTTGTAGTACAACTTTCAATCAAACATTGCGGTATAGTGCCACTGAATCTATTGTTGGACAAATCAAGAACTTGAAGGTTGCTTGCGTTGCATATTGATTGAGGGATGGCACCAGTGACGCTATTATTTGAAAGAGAAAAGAAAACAGAAGATGTTAGGTTATTGCCAAGTTCTAGAGGGATAGAAGAATTGAAATAAATAGTTGCCTGAATAATCCACATAAATAACTGACTCTGGTGGCACTGGGATTTCGCCATGGAGAAGATTGGAGTGTAGGTCAAGAACAGTAAGATAATTAGGAATAAAATGTGGTCTTTGCATACCCACTAGAAGATTACAAGAAAGATTCAGATACATTAGAGTTCCACTGCCAATGTTCCAAATCCAATTAGGTATTTCCCCAGAAATTTGGTTGTCTGAAAGGTCTAAATAGACCATTCTTGACCAGTTCATTAGTGGAGGAAATTCTTGCAGCTTGCAAGAAACCAATCTTAATGTGCTGAGCTGGGGAAACGAAGTCAAGCTAGAATTACTCTCACTTGTACTGATTGACAGGTTGTTGTATGAAAGGTCAAGTCTCGTAAGATTTTGCAGCCTTTGAAACCATTCAAGCTGTATGGTGCCACTGAAGTTGTTGAAAGAAAGTAAGAGGATATTAAGCCTTCCAAAATCAAAGAAATGTGAGTGAATGGGCCCTTCTAGTTTGTTACTACTTAAATCTAGTGTATCCAATGTAGAGAAGGATCCATTCGGAAATTCAGCCACTTTGCCACCAAATTGATTATTGGAAAGCAGAATTTTCTGCAATGATGGAAGGGAAAACAGAGACAAGGGAATCCTCCCACTGAATGAATTATATGCTAAATTGACATAAACAAGATTTGAGAGGCCTGTAAAGTAACTAGAAGGTACTGAACCTATTAGAGCATTATGAGAGAGATCTATATAGGTGAGATTCTTGGACATCTGAAAGGATGGGATTAGACCAGTAAAGTTGTTAGATGACAAGTCCAAATAAACAAGAAGACTGAGGTTTGCCGTTGAATTTGGAATGGGTCCAGTGAAATTGCAGTATGAAAGATCAATCCTGGACAGATTTCTTAGGTTACCAATAGAATCTGGTAATTTACCTGAAAATTTCGTGTTGCTGAGAACAATCCTCTGAAGGGATCCATTTTGTAGAAACACTGGCAAAGTACCTTGAAGCTTTATGTTGTTTGACAAGTCTAGAGCCTGCAGCGTTGGTACTTGAAAAATCTTTGGCGGAAATTGTCCTTCCAAGTTAGAAGAACTAAGACTCAAGACTGTCAAATTTTTGAAATTTGCAAAGAACTCGGGAACTGAAACAGAGAGATTGTTCTCACCCAGATGAATTTCAGAAAGACACTGAAGCTTCTGAAGAGAAGAATCAATAGGGCCCGAAAGATTACAATTGGACAAGCTCAAAACTCGCAGATTAGGCAGTGAATATGAT